TTAATAAAATCTGACTTGGCTGTGTTTGCGCAGTAAAGCAGATCAATCAATCGAACTGCAGCGTACAGCCCTCTGCAGGTTCTTCTTCCAACCAAGAAGGGAGATGAGGCAGAACAGCCGACAGCAAGCATCTCAGTTTGTTCCCCCGAGCCGTCACCCTGATTAACACTTAACCCAAGACAGTACGACTGGACAATAACCCTAAGTGCAATACCTGTAAATATACATTGTACATTAGGTCTCTATTTTTATTTTTATCTTGTTTCCTAACGCACATTCCTTTGTTTGTATGCTCATTACTTCCATGCTTTGTTCTCTCAGCCTTATATTGTTATATTGTTTACTTGCCCTTTGCTACTGTCTTACATAAGGATATGTACATACACACAGAGCTGCTGTACCAGAGTCAAATTCCTTGTGTGTCCAACACACCTGGCCAATAAAGCAGATTCTGATTCTGATCTCAGGGCCGAGGACAGACAGAGGGAAACCCTGCACCTGCAGTAGGTCAACTGAAAGCAAACCAAGTTAGCCATGGCTTTGTCTTCGTCAGTGTTTACAGCCCTTCCAGCCTAACATCTAACAGAGACGTTGGGCTACAGTCCTCAGCCAGGCTCAGAGGAGTCAATCAAGCTCTGACACAGCCGACGATTCTGCGCGTTATCATCTAATCTGCAGACTATTTCTTTACTAAAGCATTAACTGAACGGTGCATACAACAGTCAAAAATATCTCCACATCTTGTTTTGTCCAACCAACAAAAATCTTCAGTTTACTGTAAACCAGAGAAAATCTGAGACTGTTCAGACGGACACCACAAAAACTGCAGCACATTTGATCTACTTTTGTCTGATAAATTGCTGATTTACCAAAAGAGCTGATTACTATTTTTAAAAAATTTTTGTCAATTGATTAATCAATGATCACTTAAGCTCTTATTGTGTTTCATATCAAACATGAAGTGTATGGTCCCCCAGAGTGAGTGAAATGAATATACACCAACAGTGGCACAACAAGTACTCAGGAGTACTCAACATTAAAATAATAATAGCACTGTGTAAAAATACAAGCGAGAGTCTTTCATTCAACATGTTATTTAAGTACAATGGATCGTTAGCATCAAAACATATTTAAAGTACTAAAAGTAAAGGTACTCATTATACAGAATGGCACATTTCACATTCTTGTATATCATAGTATTGGATTATAATTACAGATGCAGTATTGTGTACATCACATTTAATGTTGCAGCTGGTAAAGGGGGAGCTAGTTTGAATGACTGCTGGATAACTTGTGCATTTTCCACCATAGATCAACAAGGTCTTGTAATTATACTGTGTCTTTGTGTTAAATTGGTTCTAAAAAGTGACTAAAGTTATAAAATATATGTAGTAATGTAAAAAGTACAATAATTGCCTCTGAGATGTAGTGAAGTCAAAGTATGAAGGAACAGAGAATGAAAATACTCAAATAAGGTACAGATACCTCAGAACTGTACTTAAGTACAGGACTTCAGTGAAAATACCGAGTTACTTTCCATCTCTGATTAAAAGAAAACGACTGACTAAAAACCTGGTTATTTTTGCATGGTTTCACTTTTATATGCCTACGACATACATCATGTGGGTACTGCTCCTGGTTTATTACTAACAAAACATTTGTGCCTGTAGACTTTTCCTGGAAGAGAATGGAGCAACAGCAGTGATTATGCACAAGCATGTAACATAGTGGTTCATGTTGGCACCTCAAAATCTGAGCCTCTCACTCAATGAATCAAACCAGACATGATTTAGTTTTGGAATTTTTGCAGCACTGAAACAACCAGACAGAAAAACGTGTTTCCTCAGCGATTTTCTACTTTTCCCCATCACACATTACAGGAGACTGTCGATCGGACAAAACAAGACATCAGCAGACATCACCTCATACGACTCAGCGACTCCTTTAAAGTGCAGCTGTTTCCAAAGCATCCTTTGTCACATCCAAGTCTGATTATACTGAGTTGTTATTAGAGGCAAGGGGGAGTAAATTACTGTAATTATACACAACTATCACAATTAAAGTAATTATCACAACAAAGGAAAAGGCTAAAAAAAAGTCTTTAAAAGTAAGTATTAAAGCTGCAGAAGTGTCGTCTATTCTGTCAATCTTAATGTGTCCCGTCAGGTTTAAAATCCTCTACAGGTTAGCTAATAAAATAACCCTCCATTTCTGCTGCTGAAGAGAAACTGAAGCCTTTTTGGTCCTGAACAACAAATCAACCAACAGAAAATTATTCTGCAACAACTTTGGTGATATCAAATCCAAACCTCGTCTCATTCTCTGTCTCTTCCTCCATTCTTTCAGGTTTCCTATTTTACATCACAGTGAACTGAATGTTTTTGGATTCTGTACTGTCTAGCAGGCAAAACGAGATGGCTGAAGGCATCTCGTCGGACTGTGAGACACATAGTTCTCATTGTTTTGCAGTTCAGACCTTTACCAAACAATTAATAGGAGGAAATTAATTGATAATGGCCGTGATAAATCGTTTCACCGAATATCAATATACTAGATCCAGGACTTTTAACAAAACATCCAAGTCAGTGTTTAAACAAATAAAGCGACTGCGGAGGAAAACAAAAACTACGTGAAGCATGTATTGCTTCTTACAGAGTTCTTGCAGACATCCTGGAAAAAAGTAAGATTTTCATTCATCAAATATCAACTAATAAACACGTTCAACGACAGGCCACAGAACAGTCGCTAACCTGATAATAATAATTACACAGATCATAATGTGCCAATACCCAATCGTCCTGATCGATACACAGCCTCGTGTTTGGTTACTACGTGGGTGAAATGTGTAGCTGCGGACAGATGATGCTGCCATGCGGGCAGCCTGCAGCTACAGCTCCGCCACCACCTCCATCTGCTTAGGCCTTCCTTCCCGCCTCGCACCGTTACCAGCTCGTTATAACATAGACTTAAAAAATTACTCTTATTTTACTACCAAGCTGCGGGACTATCCCCGCCACGAGTGCGTTTATTACATTGTACGCAACTAGCCACCTGCTAACAGTTAGCCTGTTAGCTCCTGGACCGCGGTGTTTCCCAGTCGCTCTAAACGTCCTCCGCTCACTCTTGCCCGGTCCGCTCAGCAGGCGCCGGGGCAACGAGCTTCGAGGCCTGACCGCTTTGCACAGAGACTCTGAGTGGACAGCATGGGAAAGCACGTCGACAGTTCGGCCGAAGTTTGTGACTGAGGTACACAGTTGAGTTAGTGTACGGAGCTTAGACTCACCCTCTACCGCCGCCAAAGCTACCGTAGGCCCGATCCCGTTCATCGTAGCTGTCGAAGTCCGCCATTACTGCTGCTGTGTGTCGGAAGAGGAGGTCCTTCACGTCACACGCAGAACGGATTCAGCTGGCCGCAGAGCGCCCGACCGGGATAACCGGCATGCTGACAAAATAGTTTCATTGTTTACCCTTTTTAATAATTAAAAAAGAAAATAGGTTGGTGAATTAATACATTCTATGTAAATTTTACTATCCGGTGATAAGAAAACACTATGTATAAAAAGAAAGGGAGCAGGAGTATTTATGATTAAAATAAATAAATAAACACACAAAACTTATTTTGTTAAAAATTATCTGATGGTAAATAAGTCTACAAGTGTTACAGACCGAGTTTAAAATTAAAATTTTTTTTAAATAGAGGTTTTAATCCAGAATATCTGCATCAGCATACAGTATGATAGCCTATTTTAAAGTTGTTACTTTCGGCTTTTCCCGTTTAGGGGTCGCCAGAGCGAATCGTCACACTGACGACTCGCATGTTGACATTTGGCACGTGTTTAACGCCGGATGCCCTTCCTGACGCAGCCCTGATTCGAACCCGGGCCGCAGCAGCGAGAGCGCTGCACCATAGCCACTAGCCTACCAGGGAGGGTCCAGCCTATTTTAAATGAATATGGTCAAATTGATTTAATGACAATGATGCAGTCCAAATACCAAATTATAGTAACAAATATAATTTGCTACACATATTGTCAATCATTGCTCTTACCCAAAAGGCTATTTAATTTAATAGTGAAAACTCTCCAAATCAAAAGAGTCTTAATAAAAAGAAATTAATTGTTTTTGTGGAAGTGACACTAAATTATCCTCTGCATAATGGAGACAAGAGGAAAAGATATGGATACATATAAAATATAACAACTTAAAGCCTCAACAGGTAAGATACATGGGAAGGCTACTATTTCACCAACACAAACAGCAGCAGCTTCCAGTATAATCTGATTAAGATGAAGTAACAAACACAAACATCAGACTCCTGTATTTACATCATATAGTGTATTTTCCAGGAAGTGTCAACATTAATTTATTAACAAGATATCTGTTAAAATATGTACAACTATAATTGTATCATGAAGATATACATACAAATGTTTATATAAACATGTATTTTATAAGTACTTCTTTTTGCACATTCTTTTCCATTTCTTGCTCTCGGTTTATTTGCTTCCTTAAGGAAGAACACTGTACATGCACATTGAAAACTACTGCACAGGAGTCAGATTCCTTCTGTGTTCAACACACCTGGCCAGTAAAGCGTATTCTGATTCTGATATTAGTATATTTATATTCTATAATCTTCTGTCTGTCCCCATTGTTTGGATAGACATGAGGAAGAAAGCCTTCATGTTTTCTGCCCCAGCCACTTGGGATAGTTTGCAAAGGAAAGTCGCATAGTATTTATCAAGTTTAGACAAAACAAAAATCAACAGCAAACTCTATCATGGCAGTTAGTGTTTTATATATTTTCTCTACCAATATCTCTATACAAGGACAATAATATATTAAAAACACATGTCAGATTCATAGAAAATAAACAGATCTGACTGAGTATCACTGTGAAGGATTTCCTGCCGCCCTAGTCACTTAGTGCATCTGTAGAGCTTTGGGATCTCTTTAGGGCTTTTTGAAGGGCTCATATAGGTCCTGTAGAGGTCTATATGAGAGGGTCTCATTTACTTCTCTTGTATGACTACTTTATGCTCTGTTGTTTTATGGGTCTCATACAGCTTTTTGAAGTCAGCTAAATCAAGAATCCAGTATCCAGACCCTGCTGAGCTCTTGAGATCGTGCAGTACGTGTAGATATCTCTTGGCCCTTGTAAAGCTTCTGTTTAGTTTGAGAGAAGTTGTGGAAAATGTCTCACCATTATGGTAAGATCTTTCCTCTTACAGGGTGCTTTGTAAGGATGTCGAAAAATTTAGCACTTGTAGATTCTGTATAGTCTAGTAGCTCTTGAGGAGATCTAGGCTATTGCAAATTTCTTTACTGACATGCAAGATTTCAACCCAGCTCTTGTATTCTAGATGTCTAGCAGATATCTTGTCGGGTGTGTCGACACAATCCATTAGATCGATAAGATCTCTTTTGAGTTCTACACGACCTCTACTAGACATCTACAGGGTGGGCCACGGAAAAGTAACCCACCCCCAAAACAATTCACTTGCTCGTTCATACTATTGCCAGAGGCAGGCTACTTTCCCGTGGCTCGCCTTGTACAAGATCTACTACTGTGCTAAATGCATAGAGGTCCAACATGATGTCTGTAAGATCAACAGTCATGACAATCACTTTTATTAGTACCCCAATGGTGGTGCTGTCCATGCTCTGACCATTGGGAGCAACTTGGGGTTCAGTGCCTTGCCCAAAGACACTTCAACATGTGGACTGGGGAGAACGGGAATTGAACTGCTGACCTGGAAAATGACTGCTCTACTTCCTGAGCCACAGCTCCTGCACAGACTTCTGTGTGACCTTGAAATAATACAAGAATTCTAACAAAGCTGGGAAGGATGTGAAGCACTCAACTCAGTCCTTATAGAGCTGAATGATGACCCAGAAATTATCAGGGCATTCTGATGTAGAATTTAAAAATTAAAGCCCCCTAAAATGTCACATGGGCACCATATTAATTCTAAATTCAGATTGCTATTAAAGGTTACATATTATGCAAAATTCACTTTTAGAGCATTTTCTGACATTCACATGGATCTCTGGTGTGTAGAGACACACAAAACGTGAGAAACGAGAAGTCCCTGTCTGTTTTGCTTTTTCCACTTTTGTAAAAAGCCCCTGATCAAGCATGCTGTTCAGATTTGTCTCTCTTTATGACATGATATGAAATGATGCAGCAATTCATGTCATAGATTCTCCTCCCACTCAGATCCATTTTGGTTATTGCAACAGTCAGTGAGTCTAACTCACATCCTTATGCTTTAAGTGTTGCTATTTTAAAATATTTTACTGCTTGTTTATGAAGTTAGCCTGTTTAACCTAGCCACATTAGCTGCAATGTAATAATGTGGCTAACAGTAGCTTGTATTACAGGCCGAACAGCAGAAACAGGTTAAGTGTTCGGGTTAGTAATACTGATGAACAGTCAGAATGTACCAGAGAATTTGTGTGAAACCTTTTTAGCCACATTTCCTGTGAGTAGTGGGTTGGATGGTGGTAACTTTGTTTATCTAGCATTGTTATAACAGCATTAAATTTCATGTAAACAACATGGTTCTCTCTTAGACAACACTGCCCAGGTGTGACATAAGAGTGGGGTGACAGTAGTTGATTTTTACTCTTGAGATTGCTGGTGAATTGAGACATTAGGCATTGATATCATACTTTTTAGCTCAAAGAACCATTGATAAGTTTCATGCGAGTCAAAAACTGTACATGTCTCAAATGTTCCTATATCACATTACACTCTGCTGCAGTGTTGAGCTGTAGTATCCCTGTATACACTGTACTCACTGAACAGTGTAACACAAGACCTTTTTGTTTTCAAGGGGCTGCAGCTTACCAAACTACAGTTTGTAATTCTACCTTCTAACAGTACATCATTCCTGATCCTCTAACAGGAATATGTATGCATATTGGCCACCTCAACTCGCATCAATTCATGTGGATCAATTAATTCAACTGAGCTCCAGAATTACAACTCATAGTTCTTATAGATCTGACAATGTACGTCTAGATTTACATTGACGTAGGTCTTGCAAAGTTCTCCTCAGACCTTAAAGGTCACAGTTCTTGTAGATCTCCCAGTGGTTTTTAGAGCGGTCAGTGAGATTGATCAAAAACAGAAGCTCAGTCATGTAGATGTGGACACTGAGGTAAAGGATGACATGCAGCAGAGGGCATGTGTGCTTCATCTCAGCAGCTTCCTGGTGTGTCGGTTTCCTCAGGGATCTCCTCCAGATTTGATGGGGGGGAGTTGCTCTGTGAGGGTGAGGGTCTAGATCCACGCCATCGTATGCTGCTAGAAGGGGACTCCATATCATCAGGAATTATGGTATTCATCAAAGACTGGAAGCACAAAACACAACAATGCAACTTTAACTGTGTGTGCTAAAGGAACTGTACAGAAATACAACAAGATACAGTTGACATTACATCAAAGTACAACAACATAAAACAGACAAAAATATGTGTCAGTTGAAAATCTGTCAACTTTGATTCATTTTGGTGTACCTGGTTCTCAGCCAGTGCCTGTTTAGCCATGTAGCGCTCCCTCTTCATCTTCACCTCCACCTCCTCTGGGATGTCAGGAACCATCATGTTGATCAGAAATCCAATGAGGAAGACCACATGCTGAGGAAGAAAGCCAGGACAAGCCTTCATCAAGTCACAGCAGAGCCTCACCAGAACACAAACCTGCTACTTTGTTCCCTTACAATAATTAGGCTAGCAGCAGTGGTGGATGAAGGATTCAGGTCCTTTACTAGAGAAGTACTAATACCACATTGTAAAAATACTCCACTACAAGTCAAAGTCCTGTTGCTTAAAGCTGCATCAACTCAGATTTCCCCCACAGTTTGATAAACCCCAGGTTCAGTGGGACAGGACATGGTGTCGTTCCCCCCCATCCGACCTTTAGCCTGTGGGAGTCTAAAGGTCTGAACCAGCAGCTGCCACAGTGAAGAGGTGGCGTCTTTAGCACAGAGACAGTGGGACAAAGAAAGAGCAACAACCAGGGTTAACATGGGTTTGGCTGTTTGACATGGAGAGGGTTAAAAGCAGCCAGAGGACTCAGACTGGATTCAGATGCAGCATTCTTTTAGGAGTAATTGGAGATTTGTGTAATGTTAGTGCTTTGTGTCACATCAGCAGTAACCAGCGCATGCTGCTGGACTGACACATTTACTGTTAGCTAGCTAACGCTACTAACTTTATACATTTGAGGGGTTTTCTTTAAGTGAACAAAGGAGACACTGACCTCAAAGATGATGATGAAACTCAGTTGTATGGCAAGGAGGTGATAGTACTCTGGCAGATATTCACCATTTTTATCCCTGAATCCCAGATACCTACAGAGAACAACAAACAAGAATTAACAGACCAGAGATTTATGTCCGTGTTCTACTTCTCAGCAACACTGGCAACATCAGCGGCACATACCCCTGCAGTGATGCTGCCTACCTGCAGGTGGTGTTCTGGTGTTCCTGGCTGTAGCTGTGGGGCGATGTTGCCAGAGTGAAGTTGATAAAGCCGGTCAGTGTGCTGTCTCTGGTATAGCGATAATACAGACGAGGTACAATGGACGAGGTGAATGCTATGAGGAATGCCTAAAACACAGGTTGGAAAAGTTCAGATTGTCAGGCAGCTCTTTGAGGAACGGGCCCTCACAAAGACAGACCTACAGGATCTCAGAGTCTTACGTTGCTGAGGACAGCCGTGTGGGTGATGAACTGCAGGATGGAGAACCAGATGCCAATGTCTTGACCTCGCTCCGCCACAGGGCGGCGATATTCAGTCACAAACTTCTGAGCATCCAATCGCATCTCAACCCAGTTATTAATGAGAGCGAAGAGAGGAGCAAGAGGACACGCCGCCACAAAGATGGTGATGAAACCAAACTGAATCACTGAGGAGAATGAGGGGGATTTACAGGGACCAAACACAAACACCACACATCCCCCCAGCCCCAGAGGTTTAAATCAACCAATGGGACTTGACTCACCCATCTCCAGGTACTCGCTGAACAGTCCCTCGCATTCTAGCAGCTGGTAGTCTGCCTCCCAGGGAGAGACCCCTTCCTCCTGCTGCTCCTCCATATGAGCCTCCTTGACTTCATCCTCCTTCAGCCGAGTATTCATCTTCCTCCTCTGCCACCACGACTTCAGCTTCCTGTTGAATACTGAGCCTTCAGTTCAGTTCAGAAGAGCTGAAATGCACTAATGTTTTACTGTATGAGTCTACATGGTTTTGTATTATCTTGTTCAGAAAAGTTCTCATCTTGTCCCTAAATTAGTATATTGTACTCAGTGGTTGGTATCTTGTTGTCAGACATTATCCAAAGTTTCAATCCCATTCTCACAAATTCTGCCTTGTTCTCTCATGTTATTATCTTGGTCTAAATAAGTGTCTCTTTCTCACAAATTATTCTCGGAACTTGTTTCTCTTGAGATATTACTGACATTATCATTATCTCTCACAAGTTATATTTTCATCCTCTCATATGATTATGTCATGGACACAAGTTGGTATCTTGAGGTCCTGTTATTGTCACAGAATACTGTGGTATCTTGAGGTCCTGTTATTGTCACGGTTTATTTATTTGCACAGGTGATTGATCTGTTCACAGAATACTACCTGCTCCCATACCCAAGTACATACATTGGTGCAGACAACAAAATGACGGAATGACAACATTGACCGGAAGTTTGAACTGGTGACCAGGTGCTTCTCCCAGTGTCTGTGACAATTCTGTGATATTATCTTCTCACAAGTTATTGTGTTTGGATGCATTATCTTGTTCCTGCATCTTATCTCATTTTCACAAGTTACCATCTCTTGTCAGAATTTATCACATTGTGTGCACATGACAATAATGTCTTATTGTACTGGTACTTGTGAGGGGCTTCTGTTCACCTGAGGTATCTTGTTCCCGCTCAGTATTTGTGTGTTATATGTGTGTTTGTTATTTACGGGACAGCGAACTCCTGGATGTTACCGATCAGCTGTTTTCCCACCATGATGACCAGCATCTCCTGAGCCAGTTCAATAAGGCACCCGCCTGCTCCACACTGTCACACACAGTCAGGAATATGAGGGGTTTGTTTTTGTTAGTTTATGTTGTTGTTGCATAATTTCACCAAAAAATAAATATAAATAATAAAACGATCCATTAGCAGATGAAATCAGCCTGTTGGACGCGAGCAACACGCATCAATGTACAGAACATGCATTTGTGTAATTTAGAAATCAGGTCATTCTTTTACTTCATCATTAATTTATGACATGATTTTCTGGGTAACAGCAATGACTAAGGGTTTTGATCTTTTTTTTGTTTATTTTGGGAGAAATCGACCCTCTAAATAATTTTATAGCAATTCCCATCAGTAGCACATAGTGACACTCACGTCTTCATTGCGAACCCCAAACAGAGTGCTGTAGTTTCCAGGGTAACCAACAAACCTGAATAGACACACAAACAGCTGTTAAATTTCACTATTGAAACATTGAAAAAAATGACCCTATTCCTCTGACTGTCATATGTGTATCCTGTTGTTACAGCTCTTCTTCAAAGCAGTATAATGCTTTTATGTCTGTAGCCATCTATCAGATGGAAATTACCATGTCAAATCTTCATCTTACACACAGATCATCCTGTTGAGCTCTTCTGAAACTCTGACATCTCCGCTAGAACCTAAAGTAAACGTCTGTACATACAAAGTTTGGTATAACTGACCCATATGTTTAACTGGTTTTTAGCTGTCCTCCATCCATCCACCAGATGCCTCAGTGTTTCCCAGCTCACCTGGTTCACCACACCCACTCTGTCTCCTTTTCCCTTTTTCCTCATCAGCTCCCTCAGTAGTTACACAAACCCATTTCCCAATGATCCTTGGTGTGTCTCTTATGTTGTTATACTTTGGACTCTGGCTCTTACCATCTACCTGTTACCTGCCTGTGAGACCAAGTCATCTTTACCTATATTGCCTGTCCGCCTTTTATCCCTATTCAGAAACCATGACACAAATGCATACAAGGCAGAAGAAAGAAGCAAAAAAGACAGGATGAAAAGAAGAAAAAATAAGGAAGAAAGATAAAATAAATATCAATTTGGTATTATGTAATTAAAACAGGCCTCTGCAGATGAACACAAGAGGCCTGTTCCGATTGGCCGCAGCAGCCCTCACCTGCCTTTGAAGAAGGCGATGTAAATTGGAGACGAGTAGAAGTTGATGAACTCGAAGATGAAAACTTTGAGGATGAACATATCTTCATATTTGGTCTGTGTGCGATGCATCTCTGACAGAAACCCAGAGAGAAGTGTTCAGCATCATTTGACAGCCACCTGCCACCTGATACACCTACACATCCAAATACAGTCCTGCCATAACATCTGTCTCATGAAGTTCTTGATGTTTTAGTCTTTCATTAAATGATCGCACGTATCACAGAGGCGTCAATTTGTGAAGTTGGGTGAATACCAATCGAGTGAGCTGGATATTGTGTGTGGAGTGCCTCAGGGTTCTGTTTTGGGACCTAAATTATTTATATTATACATTAGTGATATATGCAAGGTTTCTGATTTAGTGAAAGTGGTTTTGTTTGCTGATGACACTACCATATGGGCATCGGGTGAAAACCTACAGCAACTCTCTGGACTGGTTTCACAGGAACTTGAGAAGATAAAGAAATGGTGTGATAGTAATATAGTATCTCTGAATTTGGATCAAACTAAATTCATGGTATTTGAGAATTGCAGATTAGACAATGAATTTCAACTGAATATTGGGGGAGCTAATATAGAACGAGTACATGAAATTAAATTTCTAGGTGTCATAGTTGATGACAAATTCTCCTGGAAATCTCATATCAGATATGTTCAGCACAAAATAGCAAAAAATATATTGATATTGGCAAGGGTTAGATATATTTTGGATGGGAAAGCATTACGCATTTTGTATTCTTCATTGATTTTACCATACTTAGAGTATGGCGTTGAAAACTGGGGAAACACATACAAAAGCTCACTTCAACCATTGTATATATTACAAAAAAGAGTGATAAGAATTGTGCATAAGATGGGGTACAGGGATCACACCAATGGAGCTTTTATCCAGTCTAAATTGTTAAAATGTTTTGATTTAGTGGGATATAAGACTGCTGTGTTTATGTATAAAGCCAGGAACAATTTATTACCTGGTGGAATTCAAAAACTATTTAATGAAAGGGAAGGGGGATACAATTTAAGGGGTCAGTTAAATTTAAAAATTAATGCTGTACGTACAACCAAAAAAAAGATTTTGTATTTCCATAAGTGGGGTAAAACTATGGAATAATTTAAGTGTGGACATAAAAAATAGTAATAGAATTGATGAGTTTAAACGTAAATATAAAGGTATGTGTCAATCAAGATATATGCGAGAACAGGCTCAATGATTAATTACATGGACAGTTGTGGGTGTGGTGTATATTTTGTAATGTTAACACTGTTATATTCTTTTTTAGTATAATATGTGTGTGTGTAGAAGTGAATCATTTATTGCTTGCAAACCAATGATGGTAAGATGATGTCATGGGGTAGGACTGGATAAGTCTGACTTCTTCCTACTCCATTCAAGCATGTACTAGGTATAAGCAAATTGATATTGGATTGTGTGTAAAAATGTTTGTTGTTATATCAACTGTTGTATATGCTTGAAAGAATAAATCAAATCAAATCACTTCAGCTGTACTGTAGGTTATTATTGAGGTCTTTGAGTTAAATTCCGACAAAGTGACCAAAAATTGAAACAATGCCTGAAAACAACATTCATAAAAATAGAAGTGTTTTTGGTTAATTTCAGGTTGTACGGAAGAGTATTAGGGCCACTGCATACATTTTTTTAAAATTCTGAAAATAAAGTCAGAATTCAAAGTCTGACTTTATTCTCAGAATTCTGAGATTAAAGTCAGAAGTCTGACTTTAAAGTCAGAATTTAAAAAGAAATGTATGCAGTGGCCCTAATACTCTTCCGTAGAATTCTGAGATTAAAGTCAGAATTCTGAGAATAAAGTCAGAATTAAAAAAAAAAAAAAATTATGCAGTGGCCCTAATACTCTTCCGTACAGGTTGTCTGTTGGTAACTTTTACTAATAATTAGGTTGCCTAATGAGCTTGTTAAATGTATATAAACTGCCAGAATTTTTAAAAACCTGTAGGTTAAACAGCCCCCAAAACTCACATAAAACCCAAAAACACTGAATTAAATTTGTCAACAAAATGATCACAGAACGAACAAGACAAAGTGTGTTATAAGTTCAGTTTGTCACAAACCATATTATCTGGTGTAATCTGTTTAAATAACACATTCACTAAAACATGACAGAAACGTCTTAAAAGGCTAAAACTGCAGATGAGGAGTGTGGGGATGAAGGTGTGACTCACCCCAGCGGGTAAGGACACGTGCCAGTGCAGTGTAAACTCTGGACAACATGAGGATGACCAGCAGATTCAACAGTGATCCTGTAAAACTGGCTATCTTATCAGCCTGCACACAAAGCACAGTTTTTATATCAGGTAGATATAGAAACAGTAAGAGAAATGTGAAACCAGAAACCTGGAGTCCCTCAGGGAAGTATCCCAGAGTCTCTAATATTTCTATTAAACCTTTCAAACATGTAAATGAACACTGAAGTTGTTTTGCTGTACTCACAGAGAAGATGTAGAATCTTTTTTTAGACTTGAAGATGATGATGCTGAGGATGGTGCGATACAGAATGACGCCCATGAGGAATATCAACACCACAGCAATCTGCAAAAAGGAAGGTCAACTTAACTGCTATTTCCCAAACACAACCTGTACACATACAGTATGTTGCTTATGTCCCTCATAAATGATTTTAAACCTTTCTCCCTGTCCTGTCACAGACTGATTACTTAACAGGATTAGCGGACATGTGCCCAAAGAGGCAAAGGGCCTCCAGACCGGAGCCTCTGTATGTCTGCCAACATTTCTTGTTTGAAAGCCAATCAGATGTCCACAAAGAGACACTAAATGACCACAAATAAAGCAAAACAACCACAGAGATGCAAAATTACTACAGTACATCCAAAGGATGCAAATGGACCACAAAGGGACAGAAATGACCACAAACAGATGCAGAACAACTACTATAAGGTGCAAAAATGAAACAAACAACACACAGAGTCAGGTAATAGTTTCTCTCTGTAACATCACAATCAGTTGACACAAATCAACCTTGTTGCTGTCACCCCTCAGGAAGTCACAGGTTTACAGGTCAGAGGTCAGACTCACCATGGTGATGATGGCCATGCAGCCAGACAAAATTCTCTTTAATCGTTTGTTTTCAGGAAAGTAAGGTTCTTCTTCCCCGGTCACTGGGTTCCTTATGGTCAGTGGCGCCATAGCTGTGAACTCTGGACGAGGCCGCTCCTGTGGAGGGTTAGTCACTGTTAATAGGAGACATTTCACACTGCTCCACCAGCTTCTCGCTGCACAGAATAACGTGTTCGAGCTGTTTGTTGGAAACAGATGGCTTCCCATGTTCCCTGAGGAGGAAACCTGGGGTTAATAGCTGGTGGACAACAGTGGAGGTCTATGGCACAGAGCGATGAGCTGGACCAGGGTCTGGACTCACACACATTATGGTGAGGACACCACATTCACTGGTGCTGCTGGTCTCTGGACGGGGTTGGTGGTGAATGACACAAACACACAAAATCACCTCACCATTTAATGGTCTTAAGCTTTACTTACTTGGGCCCTGCTGAAGCTGAGTAAGTTGTGGGATACAACTGAAAGCTTATAAAACAGCTAAGTTTAGAATTTTTATAACAGTTTCAAATATTTAAAATACTGTTGTTGTTGTTGTGCAGCAGGTACCTCTATCTCCTCAAAGTCGTAGCAGTCCCAGCGGTGAGACAGAACTGCACAGCTTCTCTTCCAGTACTCCAGGAAGGTGACAGCCCACAGAGACATGAAGACACTGAGAAACAATGTCCCTCCATTATCAAACAGGAGACCCACCTACACAGAGAGAAACAGGTGCTCTGTTTGGTGTTCAGCATTTAGCAGATTGAAATCATCTGCAGGTTGGTGAGACCGGGAGGCGGACGGAGACACCGAAAAGCAGACGGAGAGACCGGCAGGCGGACAGAGAGACCAAAACGGAAAAGCAGACGGAGAGACTGGCAGGCGGACGGAGAGACCGGCAGGCGGACGGAGACACTGGCAGGCGGACAGAGAGACCAAAAAGCAGACGGAGAGACCGGCAGGCGGACAGAGAGACCGGGAGGCGGACGGAGACACTGAAAAGCAGACGGAGAGACCGGCAGGCGGACAGAGAGACCGGTACCTTGTAGGGGACACAGATGCTGGAGTAGTTCCAATAGGAGCAGATGTTGCAGAGAGGACACATGATGAAGGTGTTTCCACTGTCACACACCTCCTTCCTACACACAGGCACACAAACACAGGCCACCAACAAGTCACGAAGTGTTTAACTCGTGATGTCATGCAGATCATTAAATTATACAGAATACCACAGGTAATCAGGAGGACTGCTGTTGTTTGAAGTTCTGGAGCACACATGCACATGTGCATGGTAAAGTTGTGGCTTGTTTCAATAGCCATGTATACACTTTTCCTGCTGTGGCAAGTCTACATTCTTTAAAGTCAGTCAACTGCCCACTGGAGCATGGCGTCCAAACCCAACCTGGATTCGACATCTTACATTATATAATATCTGAACCTGGCACGAACCCTATGCAGTTGAGCTTGTACCATGTTTTGCATCTTCAGATTAAACAAAGCAAACATTTGAGTGCTCCAGCTCTCTAGCCAAAGGTTTGACCTCTGTGTCTGAACCCAGCAGGTCCCTTCAGGCCTGGTTTGGGTATCCACACTCTACTGCCTACACGATCAAATGTTAGACCGACTTTATTCTCCATTGTGGCGAAATAACAATGTGAATTGGTGGCCATTTGTCAGAGGGTGAATGATACAGCCTTATTCATGTCAATGAAAGACCGTAACACTGATATACTATGACAGGACCAGTAACACACTGGCTACTTTTCACTGCTGGAGCCCGCACTGCTTTCCCATTTGTATCAATTAGCATTAGCTAGCAAGGCTACTACAGCTACTGGCCACTTTTAAGGTGGAATGTTTACTAGCATGTTACTTAATGTGAGTTAACATTGTGAATCAATCACCACACCGTAAACTTCAAAAACAGAACTCAGGCCATTCCATTTGTTCTACTGGTTCTCTTGCAGGACACTGATGACCGGATGTTCAAGCACTCAAAAAATGTAACATTATAAATTTCAACCGGATTCTGAAAATATATTTTTCCCTCTCTTGGGAAAAAGTGGCAGGGTTTAGTTCTGGTGTGCTCTGGCAGCACCACATCGATGGTCATCACATGATTGCAGTCTGTGTTTTTGTACAAAGTGGCCAGCCGAAGACCACTGACACAAAAGGTGATCATCGACTGAAGGCTGCTGGTCTGATCAGTTACAACATGCTGACTTTACAGTTGTCACAGACTTTATACTTACGCTGGAACATCAGTGGCCACGAGCCAGAACCCAACCAGGAAGATCACGGTCCCAACGACAGATGCAGGTAACAGCCAGCAAGTGTATAAACCTATAGTCAGACACAGTTACTACGGAAACCTCCGGTCAGACACAGTTACTATGGAAACCTCCGGTCAGACACAGTTACTATGGAAACCTCCAGTCAGACACAGTGTTGAAACAGTTAAGAATGAGGCAGTAGTAGTTAACAGTGTTGTTGCTATAGTTACCGAGCCAGGCAAAGTAAAGTGCTATCTTCTCTCCAAAGTACTCCCTGATGTGATCCAGAGGTTGGTAGCGCCTCCAACAGGACCACTGGGCCCAATACACATACAGGATCTGTCTCAAACCTAAAGACTCAGGGGGAAATGGCGGAGTGGGTGGCTGATAGCCACCCTGCAAACAAGAATATGAAAGCAGAATGAGGTGAATGTTCAGTTTGGATACCAAAAGCCTTGATATGGTCACTCAGTGCAAAGACAGTGTGGATGTTAGCAGATGGTCTGGTTATCACACCCTGCACCTGCATGTAGGTCTGCATGAAAACAGGAGTGAGGGTTTGTTGGTGGTGCAGACCAGAGGTTCTGGGGTTAGGAGCTCACCTCATGCAACGGATAGGCAGCAGTGAAGACATTCTCACTCAGCAATCGGTTGATTCCTACCTCCCCCTTGTCCACCGAACCATACGGGGTCCTGGCCAGAATCTCATACACCTGCAGAGACACTTGGCAAACTGAAACAAGCACACTTCTAGGACTCATTAAAGGTTTCTTTTCATGGTGCTTATGAAAAAAATGAAATGTTGGGCTCACAGGCTTTGAATGAGCTAAGATTTCCCTGCTTCCTGTCTTTGTGCTGTGCTAGGCGGACCACTTCCTGGACCTGTCTCAGAGAAGAAACTGGCTACTGTCACTTACTAAATGTGGGACTGCTCCTTTAAATGCCTATCAGGTTTACTAGGGGACGCTGCCCTGAAGGACTCTGTCAGATGGTTCCAGTCTCCCTGAGATGTCCCACTGGGCTGAACCACAGCTCCGTCCTCACCCTCATCATCCTCACTATTTAGATGAAGATTTGATAATGTTGCCTTTTACTCATTTGATTTTCAGTTTTAAAATTGTTTTAATGAACAATTACTAGACACATTTTTGTCTAAATTAAGTTTGTTAAATAAAGTGATGATTTAAACAAATAACATCTGATCATGGTAGTTTTATATACAAAGGGTATTTAATGTAGTATTATTACTGCAATTTCAATGACAACCTCAGTAAAAAGTACAACATTTTTCTCTGAAATGTGCTGAAGTTCTAGTCCAAAGTAGCAGAACATGGAAATACTCAAGTAAAGTACTGTACCTCAGAACTGCACATAATTACAGAACTAAGTAGTTCCCAGCACTGCTTTGGAGGGGCCGACCCCCGAGTCGGGAACCACTGAACTAAACCATGCGACTGCAGGGACAGCAGGTAAAAGCATCTCCAACAGTGAAGCTTTGTTGATTCAGGATCAATAATCTGATCAGAGAGAATCACAATACTTTTACTGTAATACTTAATTTAGTAGTGGAACATAAATAAGTACCCAGTTACAAATTTGAGGTACTATTACTTTGCTTATTTCCATTTTCTGCAACTTTATAATTTTACTCCACTCCATCTTAGAGAAAATATTGTACTTTTTCCTGCACTACTTCTGTCTGACAGCTGTAGTTACTTTTCAGGTTACAATTTTTATTATCCTTCCTGCTCTTCGTAGTACATGCAGTACTTAAAATTGTTCCAGTCTTTAACAACAGGAGCAAAGGTCCAGTTCATACAACAGTAATATTAATACAAAAACATCATATACCGTTTTCCTGCACAATGGGGACTTTTGCCTGCAATACCTTAGATACATTTTGCTGACAATATTTACTTTACTTAAGCAGGATATAAATGTAGGACTTCTACTACTTGTGGTGGAGGACTTTCACTGTGTGGTACTGCTACTTTTATTTAAGTATAGGGCCTGAGTACTTCTTCCACCAATGTGCACACTGTACTGCCCCTTTCATAAATCACTGAATGATTCACGTCCTTATCTGAGAAGCTGTGTGTGTGTGTTTGCTTTTGAGGATATGTGTTTGTAGATGGTGTTTGAAAAGGAGGTGTCACCGCCTAAAGCATCGGCTGACTGAAACATCCTGGTATCTGGGACAGCAGAGGGTTTATGTCAACCAATCAGAGGAGCCTGTGTGGACTACACAGACCAGGACCCGGACCTCATGATGTGACTTCTGCGGGTCACGCTGATGCCAGTTTAGTGACAGGACATTTCCAAACACATCTGATTTTAAAATAGTGTATTAGTCTCACTGTGTGATTCTTAAAGCAAGGGGACAGACACTGAATTCATGTCCCCAGAACTTGTTTGTTAAGTGAGATTGTTAGATCATTAAAACTTAAGATGTTTGGTTCATGTGTCATGATTTTATTGTGGCAAACCAAAATAAATAAACAAAATAAAAAATGTAAGGACTGAAGAAGCTTCTCGCAGCAGAGTAAATGGTCTTATATAGCACCTTTCTATGCACTCAAACTGCTTCATGCTATTTATTTCCTGTTCACACATGGGTGATGTCACCAGGAGCAACTTGGGGTTTGGTGTCTTGCTCGAGGACACTTCGACATGTGGACTGGAGAAGCCCTACGTTTAGGAGACAACCCACTCTACCTCCTAAACTATAACTGCCTCCAAAGACAGGTCAAACATTTTCAAAAAACAGCACAAAAAGTGTCATAACATGGACACACTCAACTAAAGTACAAGTACCTCAAAGCTGAACTTAACTGCAGTATATAAATAAATGTACTTATGGTATTTTCCACCCTGGCTTTAATGGCAGGTGGTTAAAAAACCCCTCATTTCCAAATGTGGAACCTTTGTTCACGTCACATGTGAAGGGTCACATTTCCAAGTGGCAACAGCCGATCTGTCAAACTCTAGTTTTACTACCAAGTCTGTATTATCAGGTATCTCTAAATAGCTCAGCTGACTGACACACTGAACCAGTGGGCCAGGTGAGCAGTGGCTGTTCGTCTGCAGGATGCCTGGATTCACCACACCACATGTTTTCTTAAAGATGTAGAAGTAAACTGGTAGTGTCCACACCGGTTCTGAACTCACCACTTGGTGTCTCTGAGTCATCTTGAAGAACGTGTCTTTGTTGTCACTGCCCAGAAACCTACAGACAGAAACAGGGCAAACAGCTCACAGCTGGAAACCAGACTGAATCAGACCAGGAAATGAAGAGAGAGAAGAGAAGTGACATGCAACAAAGATCCCCAGCTGGATACAAACATGGTCAGTGTGTCAGACCACTAGGACAGTGCATCTCTGAACCTTTGCAGCTTGTTGGTCCTGAACTGACAGGTGTAGTAATCAGGTGGGGGGTTGGGGACATCCTGGGACAGAGGGCTGTGGAGGGACAGCTGGGACAGGATCTGCTCAGACCAGTTGATGACTGGAGTGGTGACCACCTGCAGGAGGACAGAAGGTGCACTGTGATGAGACCAGCACAGGGAGGACGAGTTTGAGTGGGGGACAGAGGGACCAGTCTTCATGTCCACCCACTCAGAGTTTACCTTTGATCAGAGTCTTTGGCCCCATCCTCATCCCAGCTGCATTTTCCTCCCAGTGCATCAGACCTGGTGTGTCCACAGCAGTGTGAACAGACCAGCTGTCCTCAGACCAGATCTGGGCCACCTGCGTATGTGCCCCTAGACCCGATTCCTCTCCGACCTCTGACTGTGTGAGCGCTGTCAGAACGGTCAGATCAGAATCCATGTGGTCGTTTTAACATCTCCTCCTCTGCACACACGGCCTGTCATCATCATTTGGCGTCGGCCCCTCACAGACTGGTAACAATAAACATGGAGGAGAGTGACGACAGTGACTGGGTCAGTGGAGAGACCAGGATGTTTCACATGTGGTGGACGTTTATGGAGAAGCTTCTGATCAGGACAAACTGGGAGGAACAGTTGGGCGATGGCGTAAATTTTAAGAACTTCTCACTAAAGCACTACATGCACTGCAGCTGTTATGACAAACTGGACCATAAGTTGTTAAAATTTACATCATCAACAAACTAGAAAATGTGGAGTTTGTTCAACTATCATGAAACTTCATGAAACATGAAATTTCTTGTTTCTCATAGAACCCAGGGTTAACTTATAACATTGTGTGTGTCAAGTATGTGACAATGAACGCGATGAGATAGTGGAGGGAACATTACTACTGTATCAATATCACTGGGAAAACTGCATTCCTTTGTATAATTATCTTGTGTTACTGCAGATACACCTGCTGCGCTACCAAAACTATTTCCAGCTCACAAAGTAGAGAGAGAAGTTGGTTAATGGAGCTTTAAAGGGACTTTTTCCTCCCCACTGTGGCCAAGTGCTGCTGAAGGGGGATTTGTTGGGTTTTCTCTCTCTCTAATACTGTCAGGTTAGGGTTAGGGTTACCTGACTATGGAAAGAACCCTGAGATGATTGTTGTTGTGAATCGGTACAAATAAAACTGAAATTGAAAGTTTAATACATAAAAAATCCAATGGGTTTGCAGCAGTGTTTTAGGCCTTGGAGGCTGTGTTCACCAGCTTCTGTTCCTTCGACCTTCACTACAGATACGTGATGTTCAGCACAGTGTCCAGGCGCCTGGTGAAGAGACATTTAGGGACAAAGGAGACGATGTGTGACAAAGTGGGTGAGAACACTCCACTTGTCCCTAGGCTAAGTCATGTATGTTTCCTAATGCCTTAATCTGTGTGTTAAATGTTTTATTGTATTTACTAGGTTCATCACTTCCTCATTTCGTACGCTCTCTGATGTCATCAAGGATGTCATAGGGTTGATTGGTACCAGGAGCTACTTAATCAGCTGAGGTGGAGCAGCTCGTAGTATGGCAGTCTAAGTGTAGTGGTGTGCACGTGCCTGTAAGTTGCGTTGAGTTTTCTTCAGTTATGTGAAGTTAAACCATTTAGTTTGTTTAGTGATTTAAAATATTTGTGACTCGACTCATGAACTGTTTATTTATATATATATATATATATATATATATATATATATATATATACACATACATACATCTCAGCTGCTTTTAAACTTCCTGTAGTACTTGATGCTGTTTTATCAGTCATGGAACAACAAGCCAATCACAAAGCAGCAGCTGCCAGGTGATGCTCTGCCTGTGCCTTTCATTTTTTCTACTTATTGTCTCTTTGGTGTTTGTATATCAACACATTTTGATGATAAGCTTATCTGACTTTTAAACCTTAGAACACTGTGGAACAGAGGAAATCCATCAGAGTGCCCTCGGGTGCTTTGTGATGTCACAGGGGCACTGTACACCTTGTGACATCAGTGAGTGCAACACCTATAGAAAAACTCACTGCTCTCCATCTTCATTGGGAAACATCTGTCAACATGGATACCAACAGATTCGCGTCTCTGCTTACCCTGTGGCTTTTTCTGAACCATGAGGAGACTTTGAGGAAAACCAGACTTAACACCTGATGAAACAAGTAGACTGAACTTTAGTGTCTGTGTCCTCTGAGGAGGAGGAGGAGGAGCTTCACCTGCAGAGGGACTCTCAGACTGATCTCCTCAGCGAAATAGCAGAGGACACTCCAAGGAGCACTAAGCAGGGCAAAACAAATCTTCTTCTTTGCCTGGAGAACTTCCTTCTGTAGAGACAAACATGCACTCATCAGTACTTTTATGTGCAGCACAACATTTTCAGAATTAGTCTGCAACTCTTCAGCGTCCACTGATCACACTGCTTGTGGAGTCCCTCAGGGGTTCATTCTGAGTACTTTCTTTTTCTCTCTTTATATGCTCCAGCTGAGTCACATGATGCATTTTGACACAGAGCTCTGTAGGAGACTACAAAGTTTTGAATGCAGGTGTTTAATTTCTCTGCCACAGGTCAGTTCTCACCTGTTTGACTTCACATGACTGGACCTGTGTCTGCAGCTGTGTTGGTTTTGCTCACCTGTTCATGCAGCAGTCCAGAGAGTGTCAGTCTGTTCAGAAACTCCTCCCTCTTCACCAGGTGGGCAGGGGTAACACTCATACCCTCCTCCCACACCAAGACGAAGTCTGCCCAATAGGAGCACAGTATTCAAACCATTCTGCTATTGGCTGTTCTGGGGTGATGTTAGTGTTTCATCAGATGGACTTCAGACTGAGCAAGGAGATAAAATCATCCTAACTTAACACCTTTTGTTCACTTTTTAAAACAAACTGAGCATTAAAACTCATTTAATATAGTGTTGTAGGTTCGTATATAATGGCAGATCTGTGCAAGCGGCACACAGCAACCATGTAGACCTACATATCTTGTGTAACAAAGTCTTTGCTGATCTGACATCTTTGGTAACAGCAGTATAAATATAAGTACAAGAAGGGAGGTAAACAAAGTGAATGTTTTTGAATGTGCATGATGAACCAAGCTAATGTTTACCAGTCAATCACGTTAGACCAGTACTGCTCCAACTACTGCTGTAACGCTGGCACATTAATCACTTAGGCTGGTGTCCACATGAACACATAGTAAGGCTGTGGCACGTGCAGGGAATACTACTGAACCGTGTGCACATACGGCACCTTGGTCAGGTCGGCATCACATGTGATCTGTTCATTTGTGCGCAAAGTAAAAATGTACCCTTTTAAGAAATTACCGGTTTAAATTTTAAACCTGTTATGTCAGCAGTATTTCTACACTGTAGTACTACTTCATTTATTTAAGCAAAGGATCTGAGTACTTCGTCCACTGCTGACTGTGCTACTGTTCAAACTGTTGCTGTTGTCAGCCTAATTGTGACTAATTTGTCTTGTTCATTAGACCTCGTCTTCGCACCACTCACTGCCATCTGTTCATGGGGGCTGCTGATTGTTAGATGTTGGATTTACGTGAGACTTACACTGTTACTTTCAATATATTTATGAAAACATTCTGATGAGAAGAAAAGGGAAAACTGCTCCTGTCACAGGCCCAGATGTTAGAAGCTGTTCACAATGTATGTTAGGAACATCCTCAAGGGGGTTTGTTGGGTTTTTCCTCTAGATATTACTAATAGTAAGGTCTAGACCTTATGCTGGAAAGTGTCCTGAGATGACTTCTGAATCCTCCTTCCCCACCAATACCTAAACAGCACTGACAGATGTTCTACTCCACTCAGGTGTATCCATCTCTCACAAGGAATCTGACTCTCCACTTGACCTTTTACTCTTGTGTCAGACTCTCTGCAGCGGTCTCTCCTGGTCAGGTGTCTTCAAGGTCAAACGGTGACTCCCCAGTCACCTGCTTGTTCCCTCAGAATATCCAGACCCAGCACCACAACCTGTGTTTTACTCACCGACTCGAGTCGCTCCATCACTGAACATATTCCTGTTGCTAGGCTGAACTGCTGCATTCTGGGAAATAATAAACAGAGTAAAACATTTCAGTTCCACGTTCACCTGTCAGACTTCTTCAGAATCAAACTCCTTGTGCATGTTCTCATTCACGCATTCCAGCCATTTATATTCATCCATTTGTGATTTAATATCACGAAAAAGTTGTGGCCCTGACAAAGAACAGCAGAACATGATGCCAACTCCTTCATAAGTAAGTTTTATTTTGCAGATCTGACACTTCCTGTGGTTTCATGTCTCCATTGTTCTTAATGACACCAAAGACAAACAGGGTGATTAGAGGAAAAACGGAGCCAACATCGACCACTCTGACTTTGGCACACATTTCCCGTTCCCTGCTGCAGCCACAGTCGAACAGTGAGTTTCAGTAAAAATGAGCTCATGCCAGAATGTCACTGTGATTTTAACTGTCCATGGAGCCTTGCTAACAGTTTTCACCCATTTGCAGCCTCTATGCTAAATTAGGCTAAACGCATCCTGAAGTCTTTGAAGCTTTCAGGGAACACGAGGTTTGTTTAGTTTCATTACAACATACTCATAAGCTGTTGTGTGTTCTGCTGTGACAAACTAGGACTTCAACCGTTTCCAGTCATCAGTCAGTCTCACACACAGTCAGCTGGTACCATGGAGATGCTGCCGTAGTTGTTCTCTGGGTTTGTTTCCATGCCGATGAGCGTGGCATTGTCCTCTCTCTGCTCCCCTCTTCTCCTCATCCTCTCTCACCTCCTCCTGCAGATCCACAGACATATCGTGTATGTTTACGCAGAGTACAGGCACATTCACATGGCACCGTGCACCACCAAAGCACGGCCACAAGCTTCTTGTCCCCGAGTCTCTGTGCCAAAACGTTGTGCTTACATTGTGACCGTTTCTAAATACATTTCTGCTTAATCATATTCTCCCAAAATAACCACCGGAGTGTAAACGGTGAGAACCTGAGCATTACCGTGGTGCTGGGACTCAGTTAAATATCACAAAGCTGCTTTTTAAAAAGTCCCTCTCCACTCCGAAATATTTACTAGCTGTCCTGTTTCCTGGTCACATGCAGTTTGAGATTACAGGGAAGTTCAAGATGAACAGGCGTGATTGATGCCATTACAGATATTTTGCATTGTAATCCCAATTACAGATACAAAGGGTCAGAACGTCCAGCACATGCCCTGGGAATGTGCGGCATGGAGCAAAATAAACAATATTCAGACACTCACAGGTCCAGAATTCTTCTGTGAACCCAGAAAAAGACTGACGTGCTTGAAAGCATTTGTATCGATTTCAAAGATTTTGTGGAAAAACACAGCTGATAGTCTGTTTTTAAAAGAAAAATTTTAAATGTCCTGAAGTAGTTTTTGCCTTTTTGATAGAGAAAATGCAGAAAGAGAGAAAGGCAAAAGGTGCAACAAAGGTCTGCAGCTGGAATCAAACTAGGGTCACTGGTGCACAAAAACCTGGGGCCGGTTACAGCAGATCAAGAATCTGAGCTACAGATCGACTGTAAACACTAAATGCTGTGTAGTAGCTGGTTAGGTTTGTGCTAAACTCTCCACTCTCCACTTTGAAAATGTAAACAGAATTAGCTATGAATAAGCTGGAGTTCACTGACATATACTTATACTGTGAAGTACTTTCCATCCTGCTGGGATCAATAGAGTCTGATGGTTCTACTGGGTTTGGTTTGATTCATCTGATTCTGAGAAGGAACTGAAGTTATCAGGTACATGTAGTGCAGTAAAAAGTACACAGGGAGTCACAGTATGAAGCAGCAGGACATGGAAGCACTAAAGCAAGTACTTCAAACTGCAGCCAAGTACAGTAATCGAGTAGCCCAGATGTACGCAATCACTTACCACCGGCAGTTTCTTCAGGGCTGATGTCAAAGTGATTTCAGCTGACGCGCGGTGCTTCCTGCGGTCGGACTCACCTGTGCTCAGGTAAACCTCCGGATCGGACCAGTGCAGCTGCTGCCCGTCACTGGGTGCATCCCAGTTCGCCACTTCGCCTGTATGATGTTCGATCCTTGCTCGAAAAGGAAGTCGTTCCGGTTCTGAGGAGCCTGGAGTCCGCCCTTCATTTAACTCATCAGGCTGAAACAGCTGTTATTAGAAGCCTTATCATAAGGTCACGGGAGCTTTACTGTAAGAACAACAGACCCAGCCCGAGTATTGACATAAACACTGAGTTTATATTAGTGGGCACGTCAGACATCGTGGCTCCGCACACACAACTTCTACTTTCATCAGAAACCGTGCACAATCCGTTTCCTTTTAGAATTTGCATCTAGAGGCGCATGTTCGTGGAGACACGGTAATAATTTTCTCAAGTAGCCCACTGCACTCCATGTATTCCTGTGTTCTATCACTTGTGCTCCACTACAGATCAGAGGGAAATATTGATGCATTACATTTATCACTAATGTTGCAGATGGTGGCACTAATGTTGTACTTCAAGGTACTTAATACTGCATCTTCATTTATTAGTTGAATATGTGTTGTCTTAAAGAGCCCGTGGCGCTTTTCCTTGTTTTCTGACTTATCTGAGCATTCGTCTCTGGTCGTCCCATGGGGAAGGTACAAAAAGTGGGGTGATCGTTCTTTTGCCGGACACAAGCTGTGGAATACCCTGCCTCCTGAGCTTTGGTCTATAACAGTCTAAATTAAAGGGACACCTATTCACACTGGCTTTCGGCACTTAATTTATAGCAGTGGCGCTACAGGTGCCTACAGGCTTTCTGGTGTTATATTCTGTTTGTACTTTGACTCTTATTGTACAGGAGTCTTATAGTTGCTTACAGACCGTGGTTTTAAATTTGTGTAATTTTAACTTTTCCTTTTTGTCTTAACATGTTTTTATTTTTATACATTTTGTTGTGAAGCACTTTGAGCACCCTTGGATGTTGTAAAGCGCTTTTTAAACAAATTGAATCATCAAACAGTGAATCATCATCTTAGACGTGACCTACAGCTCAATAAATGAGGTGTAACTATGTTCTAGTATTTCTACACAGAAGCAACTGGGTTAAACACATCTGGCTGGTGAGACTTTTTTCCCCTAACAAAGTATTACGTGATAGTTTAAGGACTTCCTTGAACGGTCATCATCTCCAGCCCGTTGCGTTCACGTGAACTTGCCAGACGCCCACTGGTGCCATTGTAAAAGAGTTGTTTGGACTGCGCCTGGTTTTGTGGACTCATTTTCCCTCCTGCTGCTGTGACCAGAGGATGTGGACAAAAATACAGGGCCTGAGGTTACTGCATGTCGGGGAATGTTCCTGCACAGGGACTTGTTGTTTTACCTGACCAGGTCTAACCTACAAGCAGCCAGCCTGTGACACTCATCAACAGAACAGTGATGTTGTCGGGAGACAAAAGTACACATGTAAATACAATCTCCCACACAGAGACTGACATACAGCGTGTAATGTTGTCACAATGCAGACTTTAATATTTGACTATTCAGCTTGTGGTTCAGTTGGAGTCCAGGAGAACAGGCTGAGAGCGCCACCTGCTGTCAGAATCAGGCACTCACTGAACAATAGCACCAAGGCATAACAGGTAATGGAGGCTGTGCCATCTTTAAACCCATGTTCATGCTTGAGAGTGATGAGCATTTGTGATCCAGCCTGAAACAGATTTGTGTTTCTGTGTTTGTATCATGGGCCCAGGGTCTGATGTCAGATGAGGTCATGTGTGGTTACCTGACCAGGAACTGAAAAAAACTTAGAAAAAAAAAAGCAACTGGACTTAGATTTCTAGGTTGAAAAGGTTCTGTATTTAACAAAATACATTTTGGACTTTAACGAAAGCCACAGGAGCAAAAAAAGTCTTTAAATTTAAGACGTTCCTTTTTGATAAAGCTTATAGTTAGGGCTGGATCAGGTGACCCTGAGCCTTCCCTTAGTTATGCTGCTACAGGCCTAGGCTGCTGGGGGGCCCCATGATGCTCTGAGTTTCTTTGCATCTCTGACGAGCAGTCACCAGCCACATTGACCTGATCAGTGTTTGATTGTGCTCAAGGGGGATTTGTTGGGTTTTCCCTATGTAATAATATTGATAACAGTAAGGTCTAGACCTTAGTTTGTAAAGTGTCCTGAGATGACTTTTGTTGTGATTTGGCTATACAAATAAAATTTGATTTGATAAATGTAGTTATGAATGTTCATTTTGGCTCCTGAAGGCCCCAAAGAGACCTTGGAGAATAATGTGACTTTACACTGTAAAAATAAGACTTGATTTGACTGAAATCAGGATGTTCAACAGGGCTTGCTCCAATCAGACCTTAAAATCAAGGACTTAAAAAAAAAATCAAGAATTTAAAAACAATTCTACTATTCAAGGCATTTCCGCATACTTTAAGGTAGCTTTCCAAATTCAGATGGATCCCCCATCTATTTTTTTAGATACAGTTTAAGGCCGGTCCTCACTGTAGCGGGCACCAATGTCACGAATCAACACTGAACAGTGTGGTTTCCATGACAACAGCAGCAGGATGTTAGCAGCTACAGTGAATTAATGCAAGTTGATGTGTACATGAGACTATGGACTAAACTCCTTTGATTTTTAATCACACACACACACACACACACACACACACACACACACAGAGAAAACATCCAGTTTAATCCCTTAATAACTGTCTCATGGAAAAAAGGACGAACTGCAACCTTTCAAAGGCAACACAATATGAAAGCTCATTGAGAAGTTTGAATTTTCTAATCAAATTTTCCTGTGAAAACTGAAGCAAACCTACTGGTTTTGTACACATGCAGGTGTCGTCAGTTTTATATTCTACTAAAGCAATAAAAATGAAGTGATGCTCCAATGTAGAAAATTAACCCTAAACTAATCCATTAAAATGACTTTAGCCTTAAATCAATGTCAGATATAAATGAGGCAGAACTTGCATTATTTAAACTCCATTTTAACCCTTAAAACTCTTAACACCATTTAGTATGCATTGTCCATTCACTGTCCAAAGTTTGGGTCCGGAAAATATAAAAACATATCTCCACTCACCATACTCAGCAGCACTGTATCAACAGTAGAGTCCTTCAGGTTCCTGGGTTCCATAATCTTACAGGACTTGAAGTGGATGTCCAACATCAGGACCATCATCAAGAAGCCACAGCAGAGGATGAACTTCCTGCGCCAGCTCAAGAAGTTCAGCCTGCCCCAGGAGCTGCTGATCCAGTTCTACAGAGGAATCATCGAGTGTGTTCTCTGGTACCTCATTTGTGTGAGCCTGCCCTCCATGGAGGACCTGTACACCTCACAGGTCAAAAGGAGGGCGGAGAGGATCGCTGCTGACCCCTCACACCCCAGATACAAACTGTTTGGATTCCTCCCCTCTGGACGGTGTTACAGGTCACTGTGCACCAAGACAACCAGGCACAGGGACAGTTTCTTCCCCTGGGCTATTGCGCTGATGAACAGTTTGTCTAGGCTTTGCTCTTTTAACCTATACTTTTAAAACTTGTATATATTCTGTTTTTATTGTGGTGCACATCAAGGGCCACTGGGCCCTTTTTGATACTTGGCAAAGTTTCTGCTTATGCTTAATAATTTAGCTGAAAAATATTTCAGAACCACAACATGAACCAACCAACAATGCTGCCGTTTTCAGGGGACTTAGTTTATTTTTTTTTAATGAATTGACCCCTTTGTTAAATTAAGAGATCACCTTGATTTAGATAGAGTTTGTATGGTTAGGGTGAAATAAGGGTATTTTAAGGATTCAGTTTGAGATTTTCAGTCATCCTCAAGCATCTGCAAATACCGGCGTATTCACATTATGGTGGTAAAATGAAGTCTTGCACTGTGGGCTCTGCACCACAGTATTTACCCCTCCAAAGCCCCTGGGGGCTAAATATGCCTAAACACAAAAACGTGATTTATTCAGAACAAGAGGTCTCTTCAGAGCAGCAGACCAACACCAGAGGTTCAACTCTGGAGTCCAAACCGGTGAAGCAGACAACAGGATTCTGGTTTAGACAAACAGTCCTGGACCAATGAAGCTTCACACAGACAGAGGATGACATCAAGTTTGTCTCGACTTTACTAAAACAGACCTTTCTTGGTCTGGATAAGTCATGTTTTCTTTCCTCTAAACCCATCTGAGGCGTTTTATAAAAGGTCTGCACATCGTTCTGGGGAACAAAGACCTGATGTGGGACCCAAGTTGTGCTAGGATTGGTTTTATTGCTGGAGGTCTCAGCTTGTCTCAATATGTCCAACACCTGAGTGGATGTGATATCAGGTGTGATAAGAATTAAAGAAAAGTGTCAGTGTTTTCTCTCTGCTCAGGTCGATCAGGTCTAATTATCCTCAGGTCTGGCTGTGCCTGGGTCCCCTTTCAAATGAGCCTTTTTAAACATAGATTCAATCATGTCAGGTGCAGGTAGGTCCAAAATGGACCCTTTTGGCTACCTTAAAAAAAACACCACTAAGCAGACTTCCTGTCATTTAATCATTTTGTATTTCCAACAATCTCATAATAAATTATATTTCCAACATTCCAATTTCCAGACTAGGTGGTTGATCGAGGTCCAGGACTATGATGTGGTCAGACAATACTGATCAGGGCTAACTCTGGATTAAATGCTGGACTAGCAGCTTAGTCCAGAGTGACCATTATGAACACACATCCATGACTTGTGATGTAACAGTTCAGCTTGGTATGAGGTCATCACAGTGATGCCATCAGAGCTCTTTCATACAACACACACACGGCAGCAAATTAATAATAATCATAATCATAAGCAGATAAAGCAGAATCAGTAACCTCATCCGACGTAGCTTCATCATCACATTCAGGCTTTCATGTCTCTGTATAAAGTCCACCAAGTCCTTTTAGTTTCCAGACAGGAAGTCAGTCTGATCGTCTCTACTGAACAGATCATTATTAACTGTATGAAACTAAAGATTAGACCTGCAATGCCTCTAACAAACTGCCAATAATTAGCTCCTCTAATTAAGACACTAACCAGGCTGTCAATTAAGAAACTCACCTGTTCATAATATTTCTTGCAAAATAACAGATGTTTCCTAACTAACAGACTGAACCAACTACTCCCCGTCCACCTCCAAGACCTGGTCCATTTCAGTCTGTCTACCAGACCTCACAGCGCTTCCCGGTGTTCATGGGTGTCCCTACAGGACAATTGAAGTGGTGGCTGAAGTCCGGAGAATTAGCAAGTGTGCCGATGACCCTGTATCTGGGTGGGCTGTGGGAGTCTGTCACAAGGCCCTCATGTGCGCTCTCTGGTGTTCGAACAGAACACCACACCTGGAAAACCAAATACCACACAAAGACTGGTCAGAACTGGGGGGAATCCAAAAGAGTTTCAATCAGGTCGCTGCTTTAGCGGAAATCGATAATATATAATGTGATGGAGTCATCTTCATTGTGATAGATGGTAAAAAGGCATAAAGTGACATGATATGGCATATGTGAGCTACGAAGAGTGGGTGTCTGACTGCTTTTGGGTATAAAGACAAGGACAATTAACATCTGGATTTGTCTCTAGACACAGACCTTTCATGTTGTCACCAAAATAAAAATAAAAGTTATGAAGTGTCCCAAAACCAATGAAAACAAATGTGCAGCAATTTTTGTGTTTAAGACACGTGAAGGTCACTGAGGGTTTGTTACATTTAAATCAAAAGGCAACACAGAATCATCCATGTTGTGATACAACTCATTGTGTTTTCAAGTTTGGCAGCAACAGGTGCAAAAATCACTGCATCAGTGTATAACTTGAGTTTACATCAGAAGAGACAACATCAGTTCATTAACAGAAACAGAAGTGGCCCAGTATAGAGCCCTGTGGGATACCTTTCTATTGAAAAGCTAACTGTTGTTCACCTGAGCAAAACCCAAGAAGAAAAGCTGGTCATTGGTCAGATTGACAGCAGGAAGTCTCTTCTCTTCTCCGTTCCTCTGGATCCACGACTGATAGGCCTGAATAAAAAAAAAAAAAAAGTCAATACAGTGATGTTTACATGTCTGACATAACATAGCAGTGCATAAGTTTAAGAGGGTTCAGTTCATTATAATGCGACGTGTTCACACTAACATGATATGCAGCTTTCAGTCCTCCGTTGTCGGCAATGTTTTCACCAAGCGTCTGTTTTCCGTTGACGTGTTCTCCGTTGATGGTGTAGCTACTGTACTGCTCCACCATACATTCTGTCCTCTGATGAAATGCCTCCACAGATGAGTTCTGCCACCATGGCCTCAAGTTACCTTCTTTGTCGTACTCACGACCTGACGGGGAGAGGGTGAGGACATGTTAATAGGAAGACAACTTCACTGTCACACCGCTTTTTTCCCCTCATTCATTTTGTTTGAGTCATGCTGAGCTAATGCTGCATTCACTAATGAAAAGGGACATCTGTGGGATCACACAGATGAACCATTTCCTTCTGAGTCCTCACATTAACATACATGACCAGAGTGCAGTGAACACATCTTGACAACAAGAGGGGACCGAACTTGTGACAGAAAGTAAACAGGACCAGAGGGCCTGACTCACCTTGATCATCAAAGGCATGAGTGAGCTCGTGACCCATCACTACCCCAATCCCGCCAAAGTTCAATGCCCTGAAAATGCATATAAACATACAGCATGTATGAGTTTAAAATGTTTCTCCAAAGACCTGGAAAGTCCAGAAACCAGTTTGAAGTCCTGCTAGTGTCCTACTAGCCCTAGAGGCTGAAGCATTCATTACAGCCTCAATTAAATTATGTTTCCACAAAGATTATGGAG